TGTGCCTATTTTCTTATGAACAGCACTTACTTTATTTACTTCTAGCTCCTCTGCTGATTTTTTTGTGGTCCTAGGGGTTCCATCTAGGGCCCTGCACATGCTAGGTAAGGGCTCTACCACTGAGTTACATCCTTTCTGATGTGATGCTTTCCTATGAAAATTTAAGATTGTGTTTGAATCTATCATTCTGTTTCTTTAATTTATTCAAGAACTATGTACATAGAAATCAGAAGTGTTATTTTGCTGTGTTGATGCCCCTGTTCTGAACATGTTCCTCTCCTGGAGTATGGGAGTGTTGCTATCCAGAAAGTCAACAGCGTGAATTATTTTTTTTTCCTTTCTCCCTGAGACACACACACACACACACACACACACACACACACACAAATCCTGCTGGTTCTCGCTTCTAATGGATCTCAACCTGTCACTTCACTCTATCCTCCCATGCAAATCCTCTGGGCCACCATTATCTTTTTCAACCCCAGGAAGGGCCTTCTTGTTTTCACACTTCACACCATCTGCTGCCCTAGTCACTCTCCCCAGCAAAGACTGCATGCTTTTAATCACACCATTGGGGCTGGTGAGATAGCTCAGCGGTCTAAAGCACCTGCTTAGGCAAGCTTGGGCAAACATGCAGGGACTGTGGTTCATCTTCGGCACCACATGCTGTGCCAGCCCCGCCCCTTGGGAGGGCTAAGCCAGCCACAAAAAACCAAAAACAAATAAACAACAACAAAAAACCCCCACCACCATCACTGGTTGTGGTGGTAGACACCTGTAATCTTAGGAGGCTCGGGGAAGAGAGTTCCCAGGGGTTCGAGGCCAGCCTGAGCTATACAGTGAGTTCAAGGCTCTGCTTAGAGCACTCACTTTCCACCTTTCCCCTTGGATGCCCCAGACAGGCAAACCATGTTCCACACCTCACCTCCTCTGCCCCGGAGCTTCTTTCTTGCGTTTTCGTGTCTCATCTGTCGCACTGCTGTTTCACTGCTCCCCATTGTTTTGCCTTCTTCATGGGGGCATATCTCTATTTGATTTTTTAAAACTGAAAATTTGTGTTAGAGTAGTTTTTATGTTTATAGAAAAATTGAACAGAAACTGAAAAGTTTCTGTTATTCCTCCCACTCTTACTTCCTTACTAACATCTCTTTTTTTTTTTTTTTTTGCGGAACCGGGGATTGAACTCAGACCCTTGCGCTTGCCAGGGAAGCACTTATTCCACTGAACCATCTCCCCAGTCCCACTTTCTTACTCACATCTTCTTTTGGTGTCATATAGTTGTCACAATTGATAAAGCCATGTTGATTTGTTATTATTAACAATAGGCCACAGGATAGATTAGTTGGTCATTCTGTGCCATGCATTTTATAGGTTTTAATGTGTTATGGTTTGTGTCTAGTTGTCCCCCCAAAGCATCATGCAGTCATGGGGTGGGGACTTCTAGAGTTTGAGATTAACTCATGATCAAGGCTAGGATTATGGGTTTTAGTTGCGTATTGCTGGGATTATGGGTGTGAGTACTACACTCAGCCTGGGGCAGATAGCCTGAATGCAACTTAAGGAAGACAGGCTTGCTCTCTGTAGCCATTGTTTCTGCTACTCTTCCTATTTGCTCTTGTGGTTTTGCTGCCTTCCACCACCATGAACTGCTGCCCTCTGCCATCTGCCAGTCTACGTAGGGGCCAGCTGAGTATGGACTGAAACCACCAGTAACTGTGAGCTAAATAAACCCTTCCTTCCTTCATTTTGAGGGTTGGGAATTTGTTCCAGCAACAAGAGAAGAGTAACTGAGAAACAATCAATCCAAAATATCATGTATTCATCTTTATAGAAGACGGAACGGTCTCACCACACTATTACCTGCTGCCTTCTCCCTAATCACCCTCTCTCTCCTTGACCTCCAGAAATTACTTAACTTCTCCATCTTACAGTTTTGCTTTTCCCAGTGTCAAAAAGTTGGAGGATAATATGGATACTATTTGATATCTTGTTAAAAATAATTCATAATTGTGAGCTTCTCTCTGAAGAGTAAAGGCTCTAGAGCACAGGGACCTTATCTGCCTGTTCTCCCACCTGTGCGCGGGGTCAACCACAGGCCCGTGGACCTCCAGGGGACATGCTGATAGAATGAATGGGTGAAATCATTAGCTAGCCTCAGCAGATGGCAATCACCTATTTCCTGGCAGTGTTTCTTTCTTGATTTGTTTTGTAGCACACTCATTTTAGCTTCTAACTTTTCTATTGGTGTTTTGTAAATACTGGGAAAGAGGAGGCGTTCCCAGCCTGAAGAGGCAAGAACATGCTATCAGAGGTCCTTCGTCCACATGAGACCACAGAGGGCCAAATGCAAGAAGGTGTTGGTCCTTTGAACACATGGACCTGGCCTGAGCTGGACTTACTGAGTCTGAAACCCGTAGTGTTGAAAGCGAGCTCCGCTCTGCCTCTGGCTGCTCAAAGATTACACGAGGGCTTCACACTTTCCTCCTTCCATCTTTGCCTTTTCTCTGTTCTTCTAAATCTTACCCATTTATCCCATGAGCAGCCTTTGTATTTTTCAGTTTATGCTCTTACCCCCTCTGTGTCCATTTTTTCAGGGTCATGGATTAAACCCAGGGCTTCACACACCCCAGACAGTTCTCTACCATTGCCCAGGGTTATCTTCGGCCCCTCTCATCGTTTTGCAGGTCTGTGAGGCCAAATAACAGTCTACTTGTGACTGACAAGGAAGAGGATGCTACTCCAGAGTTTCTTGTTATAGAAAGAAGAATCAAGTATTTTGGGGCGCAATTATCCATAAGAAGGAACCACCCTTGAAACGGCAAGATACACTCTGAGGTCTCTGCCTCAGTTTTCCTAAGACCTTCAATCCTCTTTCTTTAACATTCTTCTTTCTTAATCCCCTACTTCTTCAGATGGAGCCCCAGTCTTTCTGCCACGACGTCCCAACCTCCACCGCCACCCCCCGGGGTGCATAAAAGAGCTAGATGCAATAAAACACTTGACAACATTGTCAGTCTGCAATACTGACAGAATACGTAGTGTCATTCTTTCAGGGGATATTTAAAAACTGAAAAAGAATATTTTTGAAAATATGTAAAATCAAGGAAAACATAGCACACAGGAAAGCAATATTTAACCCACTTGCACACTTCAAATATTATGTCATATCACAAAATTCTTAGAAGAATAAAAGAATCATAGTCTGCCTGAAAGATAACTATTAACTCATTCAATACCAAGCAGTGCTGCCTAATTTAGTGGGTGAGGTTAATTTGGGGTAAGAAGTGCTGGAGTGATGGCTCAGCGGCATAAGTGCCTTACCTGGCAAGTGCAAGATCCCGAGTTCAATCCCTGGTACCCACCAAAAGATAATTAAATAAAAAAAAATAAAATAAAAGTACATGCAATAGAAAAATTTGGGGTAATAGAATTTAAAAGAAAAATATATACTGTTAAAGGTTATCACGTACATAATGATTACAATGTATACTTTTATACTTATATATTATTCATTCATTTGGAAAGTTAGTTGGTAGAGGGTGGTCTAGCCTCTGAGGCTACGATCCTCTCTTTTTTTGTGCTTGCTATTTCACAGAAAGCTTTCAAGGCCATTTAAAGGAAAGAAATTAGCCCTTCCTTTGGAGGTAGGGTTGCCCCAAAGACGTATTTCTTTTTCTTTTTAATTTTTTCCCCTGAGCTCCACAGAGATAACAGAAAAGAAGAAATAAAACCCAGCGTACACTCATGAGATTTTACTGTCGTTGAGGGCTCGGAATGACCTCGGTAAATCGCGTTTTACTGCTGCATTCTCAGGGTTGATCAAGTTACTAACAACTTCAGTGCAATTCGAGCTTTGTGAGGCGGGTCACACCTCCATAGGTTCTCTCTCCTCTAGCGATCCGCCGCTGCCTCTCCTTCCCATTATCGTTTTGCTTGAGCTCTCAGTCTTTTCAGCATTCATTCGAATGGCAACGCATCCAGTAATATCAAGCAGTGGACTCAGCAAAGGATAAAATATACAGAAAAGCGAACTTACCATCAAACATGTTACTATAATAACAAAGATGCTGAGAAAAATGACAACAGCATAAAATCCTTCTTTGCTCCAGATTTTGTCCGCTTCGTGCTGCCCTTGCAAAACATTTTTCTTTAAAAGCAAAACAGAAAGTCCAACGTTAAATGAGAGCTTGAGAAAACGGGCGTTCTTATCAGACACCAAACATATTTTTAGCTTGATTCCATTCAGTGTAGTGAGGCACCCCCCGCCCCTGCTGCCTGAGGGCTCCCCAAACTCCTCTCCGCAGCGGGCTACCATCCCGGCAAGTCAGGAGATTATTCCGTCTCCGGCCGGAGAGCAGGCAGACGCGTCTGCCCGCACCCGCAGGACCTCACCTTCGTAATGTCCCTCACTGTCTTTCCCGGGAACCGTGTGGCTGACAGGTGAGCGAGTTCTGCTCCCTCCGCAAGAACCTGTTTCTGAAGCTCTCTACTCCGAGTTCCCTCCCACAGCATAACACCCTGCCGCTGTGTGCTAACACCGCTCTTTACTTTTGAACAAAAGCGAAACAGGTGCAAACACAAGCTCCTGATGCATTAATAAAAACAGCGACAGTACCAGGATCCTTTCCTTCCTTTTCCTCTTCCCTTTTATCGCATCAGATTTTTTTTAACCCCTTAAATACAGTTTGCTTTGTCAGAATTTGTCTAAAGCACCCCCCCCATATAAATTGTTAATATATTTTGGTTAAAGCAACCAGGAACACCAATATAAATAAATAAATAATCAGAATTATTTGCTAACAAGAGTTGACAAATAGGAGTTTGCAAAATATATCGGGGGTTGGAAAAATGGAGAAGTGTAAATAAAATATGAATGCCTTTTAGTTTCATTTTATCTATTTTTTTTTAATAAAAAACACATTGACCACAATCAAATTTTAGAGTAAAACCGGTAAATAGGTGATATTATAGATTTATACTTAAAGAAACTTTAACTTGGAGTCAGCTGGTCCATGATCAAGAAAAACGTACTCAATATAATTTAAGTCAAATGCTGAACAGCTGCCCATTCTATTGCCCTAGAAAAGGGATGTGTCTGTCCTTGGGTATTGTCTCCAATGAAGAAAACAGGAGAAAATATCTGTTAGGTGTCTGAATTGTGAAATAATTTTTGATTATTTTTAAACCCCCAGACACATTTAATATTTACTAATTAAACAAAAGATTGTCTTAAAAAGCTTATGAAGAATTTTGCTTTGGAACTGAATCAAGCCTTGGTAGAAAAATGAGTGAGGCAGAATGTAGAAGATTATTAAGTTGAACTGTGATTATAAAAATATCTGCAGGGAGACTTGCTTATTGCTTTAAGTAATCAAATTTCCTTATTTTTTTGGCTTGTAGGAGAGTGATGTAGTTACTGTTTTTTTTATTTTCTAGACAGATGCATAGATAGAAAAATGACAGCATTTATTTTAAATGTATGTAAATGGCAAATTAATGGGGAATCTGAAAATATTTGATTGTTAAAATGATTAGTAACCAAATATTCTGCTGGAAAGAAAATAATCGGGTTCAAGTGACAATTTTCTTTCATGGCTGACATCAGCTAGATCATTTTTCTATTCCGATGTCTCTACAAACATGGCTGAAACAAATAGAGAAAACTTACAGGCATGAAGTCTAAATATGGAAATGAACTTTCCTTGCAGGCAACTAAATAGCATGTGTTGTTTGTCATTAAAGCAAACTAGTTAAGTCTTCAGGTAGGCAGCATGAATACATCAAATTTCAGTATAAAGAATTGAGCTTAAACTCATGAGAAATTTGGGTAAAAAGAGATGGTTAGGTGGGTGGAAAGAAATGTTGTGTTCCTAACCTGGTTTGGTTCACTTTCCTTTTATCTTGTTGCAGGCCTGTAACTCCTGTAAAGTAACGTGTTCCTTTCTGCTTGAGACAAAATGGTTTTGTTTTCTTTTTTAACTAAAGCAATCATGATGGAAGAATTATTCTTCACCCTCCCTTCCTCCACTCCTGGTTAGAAAGACATGTTTTGAACTAGAACTTAGTCACTGTGCTTTCTTGGTAAATAGATTTCCGTCTGAGTCATGCTACTCCTGCTGAGCACTACTATATTTGTACAGAGATCTAAAAAACTTGATAAGGGCAGAGTAATAAATGGAAAAGTTTGTAGCTAAGATCCCACAAATGAAAAGGTTTTACCTCATGGCAATCTCCAATCTAACCTGTGCACAGAGTAACCCTAATGCCTTTTATATTTTGTCAGGGGGCTAACGGTTAAGTCATTCACAGGCTTTGCAGCTGGTTCAGGCTAATGCCTCGGTGTCATTTTTATACCATATTTCATAGCTATGGTGCTTTGACCTTTAACTTGTAGTGAAAGAAGCTGACCAGTTTTCTTTTATTATATGAAATCGAGGCAAGTTCCTTTGTAATAACGACTTTTCTAAATATCTATGTGATTTAGTAATTCACTATATATGTCTATATTATAGTATCTGTAGGGCTTAATGTTTCCTTCCCTCTCTTCCTCCTTCTATCTCTTCTTTTCTTCCTTCCTCCCTGTTTTCCTTTCTTCTCTTCTCTTTCCTCCCTTCCTTTCCCCTCCCCTCGCTTCCCTTTCCTCCATACCCCTTCCTTCCCTTCTCTTTCCCTTCCCTCCCCTCCCCTCCCTTCCCTTCTCCTTCCTTCCTTCCTTCCTTCCTTCCTTCCTTCCTTCCTTCCTTCCTTCCTTCCTTCCCTCCCTCCCTCCCTC